TTTCAGTAATATTTAGAAAATTATTACTGAAACTACTAAAAGATATTCAGTAATAGATTACTGTAAATTACTGCCAGTAATATTTTAGCCGGTAGTTTCAGTAATACTTTTCTATAAGGGTATTTTTGAAATCTAGTGCATGAAAACTTTATAATTTAAAACTACGATTTAAATATACTATATTTATTAAAAAACATACTATCGTGGTCAACATAATTACTAAAAAAATCATTTAATCTTTATTCAGAATTCTTTTTATCGAATTCTCCCATTTTTTGTGAAAAAAATATTTGTTTCAACTTTAACAGGATTGTGCCACGTCTTCTCGTTGTCCGATCGAGCTCAACTTTTAAACAATTTTTTTTCACCAAATTGAACAACTTTAGGGGGCGTCGTGAAGAAAATTTGGAAAAAATTTTTCACCAAGTATAGTTATATAAGGTCTACCCTAATATATATGCAACACCCTGTATAATTTTATTATAATAAACTTATAAAATTTTCTTGCAATGTATAACTCAAAATGTGAAAAATCAATTTCCTTTTTTTTCTAGAAAATAAAAAAGCTAATATTTTAATCATTTTTAAATATACTATGAAAATTTTCTTGCAATGTATAACTCAAAATGTGAAAAATCAATTTCCTTTTTTTTCTAGAAAATAAAAAAGCTAATATTTTAATCATTTTTAAATATGCATTATCCATATTAAATCTATTTAATTGTTTATATTTGTAAACAAGTAGGTCCTTCGCCATGAATATAACAACAATTTATCGTTTTTAAACAGATGACGATGATTGATGAAAGCTGTCAAAAGTTGTTCCGCGAGAATTATAAGTTGGATTGCAATAATGCAGGTTGATGTTTAGCGCAACGTCATTTCCTAATAAATTAATATGACGGCACGCTCAATCGTACAAGGTACATATATATATTTTTATTTTTTATATTATATTTAATTAAATATCTCAACAAAGTATTTAGATATAGAAATTTCGTTTCTTTGTATGTGGGAAATTTTAGTAAATACATATAAAATGTATATAAAATATATTTATTAAATGATAATTAAATATAAGTACTATAATAAATGCCTATATATTATTAAAATTATATTAATAACATTCTTATTTTTTCCAATTTTAGTTTTCGATCAATATCAGAAAGCACGATTGCTCTTCGTGCAATCCGTTGCAGATTTAGCCTCGAAGTCAAACAACATCGACCATCTGGAAACAGCGGGTGCGATAGACCTCTTACATCCTTTATTATCAGATACTGTACCATCTATCCAACATGTGGCAGCAATCGCTCTGGGCAAGCTAGCGAATCATAATTCCAGACTAGCGCACGTTATCGTTAGAAAAGATGTATTGTCGCACTTGCTGAAGCATATAGACAAACAAAATGTACGAGCTCTTTAAATGTAAGCACTTTAATCGTGATAGAGAGTAAAATTAATCTAAAACATCATATTTCCTCGTTCGGAAAATTTTGACATATATAGTTTGCAACCATTCTATTAATCTTTTATATATATATATATATATATATATATATATATATATAATATACAGAAGATGGACAAAATAATATTAAGACTTAAAACACAAAATATTATTTGTGTTATTAATAAAAGGTTGTAGCCTATTATTTGCCTTTAATATAGATTTTATTATTGGGACAGAATTATACAAGGTTTTAAATACTCTAAAAAAATTTTAAGGGGTGATTTCTTACATTAATTCAAGACGATAATTTCGTATGTATGACAATGTGTCCGAAACGGCTTAGTTTCAAAGATATAGAATGTCAAAGTTAAAGGAAAAATTTTGTTTTTCGAAAATTACTCGTTATTTTAATGACAATAAGACTCATTTTTTGAGGCCATACATTATTTTTTCGTCGAACAAATTCAAAAAGACGCCACTTTAAAGACGCCACGTTCTAAGTGTTCGTTGTTTAATACGATTGACAGTCTCTTTTTTTAAATATTTATACAAAGTTTTATCAAAATAACACGAATGGTTTTCGAAATTAAAAAAAAAGGAATTTGTCCTTCAATTTTGATATTCTGTATCTTTGAAACCAAGCCGTTTTAGACATATGATCATATGAAGTTATTATCTTGAATTAGTGTAAGGATGAATCCATACATCCTTTAGAAAGGAACTTCATTCTTTCTAAAATCTTTTAGAGTACTTAACTATTATCCTATACCTATAATTTTTGTATAGTCACCAAAAGAATATTGTACTATTTTTTTAACAGAACTCCTTTTAATTGCTTATATAAGTGAT